TTTCCTCAGAGGGACACAGGAGGCCATTTAAGATTTGAACAGAGGAGTGACATGACCTGACCTCCTTCGGGGGCACTGGCTTCTCCCTGGGTGATTGCTTTTAATTTTTTGTTTTGAGATAGTTTGAGACTCTTAAGAAGTTGTAAAAGTAGGACCCTGTGTAGGCTTCCCCCGGCCTCCTCCAATGATGCCATCTTACACAACCCAGAACATTCTGACTTTTATATCCCAGGGATGGAGCTACATGGGAAGAGTCCAGATTAGGTGGAGTGGGCACAGCGGATCAGAGCAAGTGAACACCGAGCATGAGGTGGGGGCTTGGACCAGCGCTGGGGGGTGGGGATGGTGGAACCGTCAGCCCCTGGGCATGTTTTAAACCAGACCTGATTTTGCTGACACTTGAGACAGATGCGAGGTGAAAGAGACAGAGAGAGGAATCAGGGATGGGCCTAAAACATTTGGCCTGAGGCCCTGGAAGGCTGGAGTGGCCTGTTACCACCATTCCCTGAGCAGGAGCATTAGAGAAAGAGATTTTGTGAGGTGAGGATTCAGGCGTTCAGCTTCAGGCATGGTGGGTTCCAAATATAAAAGGGAAAACGTTGAGTAGCTGCTAAATATGTGAATGGAGGTGAGGGGAAGGTGGGGGCTGGCGAGGGGCGTCTGGGAGTTCTTGGCTCAGAGATGGTACTCAATGCCACAAACTGGTCCTGGGGGTGATGTAAATAAACCAGAGGTCCAAGCCCAGGAGGGCTCAGCCTCCAGAGGTTGGGAAGGGCCAAGGAAGGGCCAAGAAGGAGCTGGCTCTCATGGAGGCACAGCACCCAGGAAGAGCCACCCCACCTCCATCCCTAAAGGGAGCATTGACGAGGACCACACTGCCAGCTGAATCCAAAGCTGCTGCTGCTGGGTCAACATAGACAGGACTGAGATGTGGCTGCATTGGGGAAGGTGACAGTCCCTGGCGACCCTTTTTGTGGGGAGGGGGGGCACTAAAGTCGGATTGGAGTAAGCTCATGAGAGAACCGGAAAAGAGAGGTGGAATAGCTTTGTTTTGATTTTGTTGGGTTTTTCTTGAGATGGAAGAGATGACAGAGAGTGAACGCGGGGCTGGGATGATCCAGTTTCAGGGAAAATGTTGTTGATGCAAAAAGGTGAAGCTGTGCTGGGCTGGAGCTGGGTGAATGGAGCGGGAACAAGACACAGTGGTGAGCCACGGGACACTTGGGATCTGGAAGATGGATGGTGAATTCCGTAATGTGGGGATCTGGGGTCTGACTGTGCAGTGGGAAGCTGAGGCCAAGTGGAGGACAAAGTTATCTCTCTACATGGAATGATTAGGACCCTTCGTGTTCTGTCGCCCTCACTAGGGCAGGGCCTGGCCCTTGTCACTCTCAGCAGGGCATCCCCGCCTCCCACATGGTGGGGATGGAATAGGCACCTGGACGTGTTTACTGAGCTGAACTATTTTACCTCTGAACCCAGGCGCCCCCTACCAGCACCTCTTCAAGTTTTACTAAATCAGTCCTGTCCAGGGAAGAGAAGCCACCTCCCCAAGGTCACCTCCAATGTACAAGGTATTTGTCAGACCGCAGCCTCACAGCCTCTGGTCAGCTGCCTCTCGGTGGCTGTCCAGCCTGGCAGGTCAGATTACCCAGCCTGGTTCACCTAAGCCCTCTGTCCTCTCCCCACATCCTGCTTCCTTCCGGCCACGTGTGACCTTCTTCTGTCCTTCCTCCTCCCCAGCTGCCCCTCAGCAGCCCTCTGTACTCTTCACTCCACCCAGTGCCCACCCCAGCCCTGTCCTAGTTTCTCTTTCTCTTCCTCCCTCACCCCCAGACCACCCGCAGTCCTGGCCTGAAGGGTTTGACACAGCTGCCTCGGCTCTTCCTGGCTCTCCTCCATGTCCCACGGGCCAGCTCTACACTGTGCAGTTCAGACACATTCCGGGATTTAGCCAGTGGTCCACTTTGATCCTGACTTCGTCTTCCTCTGGCTTCCCAGATACCTTGGTGCTAGTCTCCTTCTGGTCCTCTTCTTTTAACAAGGGGTGGGCTTCTTTGGCGGAGTTGAAAGAGAAGGTCGTCAGCGTAGGAGCAGACTGTGATGACGCCAGGACAGGCTTCTCGGAGGAGGTGGCAGACCTGTCTCTGATGGGTGGAGCCAAAGGTTTGGGCTCTGAGGAGTCAAGAATAGGGAGAGAGGTGAAGACAGTCAGCTCCTGAGCTACTCTCCCCCACCCTGTGGCTGGGGTCACTTAACCGCCCAAGCCCTCCACCCCCAGTGCTTCTGTCCAACACTTCCCTAATGGAGGTTGGGTTTCCCCTGTTGAGCCACAGTGCCTAGGACCACATCATCCCCCTTTATTCATTCACTCATTCATTCATTCGTTCAGCAAGAATTGCCTGCCCTATTCTTATATAGACATGGAAAGGGGGCTGGGCAGGAAACAGGATCGGGAAAAGAAAAAGTAAAACAGGCCTGCTGACCATTTATACCACCACAGCAGAGCTGGAAGGGCCGCCATCTTGGGCTGCCCAAGGCTGGAAAGGGAATCATGAATCTGGGACTCCTGAAGAGCTTTTTGGTCCCGTCCCATGGTCCTCTGCCCACCTCCTGCCTTCTGATAAGGATCCCTCTCTTTGGGGCAGGGAGAAGGATGAAGATCCAAGGGGGAAGAGAGGCTTCAAAGCCTCCATCAGCCCAGAGGTAAGAGACAGGGCAGAGGACACGGAGGTGGGGGTGGTGAGGCTAACTGGCCAGGGCAAGGTCTGCAGGAATGCTGCAAGATTTGAGGAAGCCCTCAGCTGCAGAAAATATCATGGGAGCCCCTACTATGTGCTAGGCATGTTACACACATCAGGCAGGGAGCCCTCTAAGGACTTTGCTCTTTGTATATACCACTTCCCCACCTTCACCCTTAAGAAGCTTTGAGTAGCCAGGCCCTCATGACAAGGTCTCCTGGCCCAAACCCCCATGCCAGCAATCTCAGAGGAGGCTCCTAAAGGACACTTGAGGTGCCATGAGTGTCACCCAGGCTGCCTGGGTTCACCCCACTGCAGCCCAGTCAGGGAGCAGGGGAGAAGCAGCTGCCACCAAGGCTTCAGGGCCAAGCCTACCTCTCAGGTCCAGCTCTGGGTCCTGACCTGGGGGCCTCTTGGGCAACAGCCTGCCCTCTGCCAACTGACCCACCTGCTGAGCTGATCAGCCAGGGACTTGCCAGGAAGCTGGCACCCTCCTGCCAGTCAGCACATCGGCTGGCACCAACTCCCACTACCTGCAGCCCCGGCTCAGGGTGCCCCAACCACCCAGCCGCCAGGCAGGAGGCTGCGGCCTCATTTCCCCTGCACCACAGCCAAGGCCCGCTTCTCCACAGAGTGAGATCATCAGGCCCAGAAAGGATCCCTCCTCCCCCTCTGCCCACTTGAGAGCCTCCTGTCCAGCCCCGCTCCTGACTCCTATCCTGGGGTTGGCCCTGTTCCCCTGACGTTTAGACCTGCCGGGACCTGCCCCGACTGAGGGTTTGTGGAATGTGATTTCATGCTCTGTCCAGTAAGGTCACCTCTGCTTGCTTAAAACAGAGTAAGAGTCCCCAGTGCAAATCTGATGGGGCTGCTTTTCACTCTCCAAGGCCAGGGAGGACATCCAGGTCACTGAGCCTCATCTGACAACTGGTAACAGAGCCATCCCTCTCATCTGGGCCATCATGAACTATGATGTATATCAACATAGGCAGAGCCGGCACCAATGTGCACTGCTTCTCCAGCCCCGCGCCCAGGCCTACCGTCACCCTCCAGCAAGGGACCACAGATGACTCAGCTTCCCCGTCTATGAAATGAGGGGCTTGGAAATGAGAGCCCTGAGGTCTCTTCTGGCCTAACTCCACACCACGACCCAGCCCAGGAATACAAAGGGTTAAAAACCAGGGTGTGCTCAGAGAGAATACATACCCAAAGATCTGGGGCTCTTCTCCCGAGGCCCACTCTCCCGAGCCAATCTTAAAAGAATGGGGGAGAAAACAGAAGAGTAAGAAAAGCGAGACAGAGATGGTGGGTGGGGGAGCCCAGCGTGGCTCCAGGATGAGGAGCAGAGACTAGGGACACAGGGAGGGAGCTGGTTTCCCTGTCCAAGCTCCCATCCAGGAGAGAACAGGGCAGATGATACAGCTCCTGTGTGCCCTGAGGGGCTAAGGGACAGACATGCAGGCTGGGAGCCCAGACACAGCACTCGGCCTGGCTTCCTGGCTGTGCCCTGATCTGTCCCCAGGCAGCTGGCACCCACATGGAAATGAATCTTCAAGGACAGTCTCACCCGCCATTGTGGCTTCCTGGGCCTGTGTGACAGGACAGCAGCTGCTTCAGAGTGTAAACTGTCCCCCGGCTCAGAGAGCTTTGAGCGCAAGTTCTGCAAACTGCTCCCACCTGGCTCAGTGACCCCTAAATATTCCTCCTCCCCTCCTGCACCTCCCCAGGGGAATCTAGAAGGTCCCCTTTGCTGTGATGGGAAATCACCACTGTTTTGTACTAGAAATGCAATCCTGATGGCACATAGAAAGGATAAGACGGGGACATTCCTGGCACGGGTTGCACTGCCGTTTTTTTAATGGAAAGCACCATTCATTCATTCAAAAGATGTTTATTTACTGAGCACCTGCAATGTGCCAAGCACTGTTCAGACCCTGGCATTAGAGCATCAGTGCAATGGACAGAGAGCTGTGCCCCCATGAGGCCAGCTGTGCCATCTCCCATGCGATTTCTCTTCTCAGCAAGGAAGTACATAGGCATCAGGACCCGGGAGCTCGCAGGGTAACAAGACATCACAAAAGCAGTAGGACACAGCATCCTGGGCTCTGGCCTCAGTAGAGCCACTCAGCAGAATGACCAGGTCAGGATGGGCCTGAGAACAGGCAGTAGGGGAGTCCACTTCAGTGCTGCCTTGGCCCAGGGGACCCTAATCAATAAGGACCATGGAGATCAGGGGGACCCCAAGTCTACTGGGGAAACAGAGCTCCACGCTGGGTGCAGTCCTGGACTCTCAGCTTCTGCTGGAATAGGTCCAGCCCTTGGGTGTGGACCCACCCAGAGGACTTGTTTGGGCTGGAGATAGAGCTGGTAGCCCCAGGCACTGCAACCGGGTTCCACTTCCACTGCATGAACAAGATGGGGAAGGCAGGAGAAGTGAGGTGGGACGTCCTCGTGGTTGCCGGATGACTTCCAAGCACTCCTGACTGAATCCAGGTGCACAGCTCATGACCTCGTCCCTCCCTTTGCCAACAGTGGCGGAGCTTCGTTCCCACCCAGGGAGGGGGGTTGAAGCCCGGCATGAGCCCCTCCCTGCCACATATCAAAGCCGGCGTGTCCCAGGGGCCAAGGCAAGCTGAGGCCACCAGCAAGTCTCCCAGTCTCCCCTCCTGGCTCCCCTCTCCCCTATCCTCACCTCACCCCTGCTCTGCCCTGCTCCAGCACCTGGGCTCCGCCCTCCTCACCTGCCCCACCCGCCTTGGTCTGCACAGCTCCACAGTTGCCAAACTGGCCTCCTGAAATCAGAACTAATGTCACCTCTACGCCAAAAAGCCCTGGGTGACATCTCATTCCCCCAGGATAAAGCACACGCTCCTGGAGGACCACCTATGATTCCCAGCCCTGCTTTCATGGCAGCCTGTCTCTCAAACACAGGTGAGCACTGCCCAATCCCCCTCCCGCCTCCCTCTGCCACTCCCTTAAAGTCCCAGGGGCTCCTCATTCGTGTCTCTCCTCCACCTCAAGAATTCTCCTTCAGCCTTCAGAATTTCTCCAAGAAATCTTCCCAGCATGACGAAGATGATTCTCTACTGGGCTCCCAGTAGGACAGGTAGTCATGGGACATGAACTCAGTGATTTCCTCCTAAATCTCTCTGGTGGATCCTGAGAGCACACAGTGTGGGTCTTATTTCACTTTGTTTCTGCAGCACCTGGCACATAGCAGGTGCCTAATAGCTCTTAAGAGAATAAAAGCATGGACAGATGAATGAGTGAGATGGAGGCCCATTGGCTGGACAGTCCCTCAGAGTCAGAGAAGAGAAATCTAGACACAACCAGGCTATGGCAGACACCAAGCTTAGCATCCTGGGAACCACAGAGACTTTTGAGATATGGCCCCTGCCCTTGAATGCTGCAAGTTAAAGAATAAAATGAGGAGACAAAATAAATACAAGAAAAATACAAAAAGAAACAAAATAAATGTAAATAGGCAAAATGTGTTAATGAAATTTAAATGAATAGGGGCTGCAGTTTGAGGCTCAGTGGTAGAGCGCTTGCCTAGCGCATGTGAGGCACCAGGTTCGGTCCTCAGCACCACATAACAAATAAATAAATGTATTGTGTCCAACTACAACTAAAAATATACCTTTAAATTTTTAAATAAATAAAATATTGAAAGGCTGTGGTCAGGCAGTCCATGGGCTAGATGTCAAGTGGACAGTTCAGAGATGGCCACTTGCACGCAGCACCCTTTGCAGCCCATGAAAGCCAGTGTAGATGTGGAATGGTAGAGACAGAATGGGCTGGAGCAGTAGGGTTGGGGTGGAAGCACCCTCTGGGGAAGCAAGGCTCCCCCTCAGGAACCAGCGCACCCACAGAGGGGCAGGGGTGTTCCTACAGAGCAGCACAGGAGGAAATATGTGGAGTGGGGTGCAAAGGATGAGCCCCAAAGTCAGACCAAGAAGACTCATCTTAAAGGCCACCCAGGAGAGGAGAGAGCACCAGGAGGTCAATAAAGGTGAAGGTCACAGAAGAGTCATTGGGGGGTGCAAGGTGAGGATGGAGAGCAGGTCAGGAGCAGTTGGGGGTGGTCAAGAAAGAGCTGGAACCTGCAAACCCCAGAGGAACCGATAGGGCAAGAGCCAGGTGGGAGGTTTTGTGTGTTTTTGTTGTTGTAAGAAAGACTTGAGGGCACGTGGCCATCTGTGAGGAAGGGGAGGGTACTGGGAGGAGAGTCAAAGATGATGCTGAGATTTGAAGACCAAGGCAAATACCTGCACCTTGATGGAAATAAGGAGGACCCGGGAAAGATGGTTTGGGGAAGTGTAAGCACTCCAGATTGCCTGCCCCCATGCTGATCTGCATCAGCTATGAGAACTGGAGATACCCAGCCAGAGAATGGACCTCTGGGGAGATGTAAGGTCAGAGCAGGAGTGGCAAGATCACCACCCATGTGATCCTGGAGAGCACGGCACAGAGGGCCGCAGGAGAAAACAAAGAGGGCCCTGGGATAAATTTCAAGAATGGCCAAATTTAAGAGACTGATGGATGAATGGGGGGCAGGCAAGAGACCACCTGGAAGGTCCAGAAGCAGGCAGGCAGGAGTCAGGAAATTAAGGAAAAGTTCAAGGACCATCAACAGCCCAAATGACACAAAAAAATCAAGAATAATGAGGTGAATAGGCCACTGGTCTGGGGCTAAGAGTCATTATAACTACTGATACTGCTAAGCAGAGGGGAGGAAGAGGCAGGTGTTTGGGCAGGAGAGGAGGAAGGGGAGGAGGCTGCAGCAGGCGAGGTCTGAGGAGGCAGAGAGGGGAAATCAAGCAGAGGATGTGCATCCAGAAGCCGGTATGTGCACAGGTTCCCACACCCCAACACAGCTGGAGAAAGAGGGGCCACAGACACTGGTAAGGATAGTCAGAAAGCACAGGAGATGAGATAGTGAGCAGCTGGAGAGAAGTGGGAGAATTCAGAACATCAGGCCAAAGCAATGAGAAAGAAGTCACAACAGGAACTCGACAGTGACCGTGCTAGGAGTGCCAGGCCCACAGGCAAGGGAGCAAGGGAGTGCGCGCGCGCGCACACACACACACACACACACACACACACACACACACACTCACACACATGCTTATGCCCACAGATACATACATACACCCACTTGCACATACACATGAACACGCTTTCACACACACTTGCTGCAACATCAGGCTGGACTGACCGTGGGATATTGTTGGCCATCTGGAGGGCACTGCCTCTCCTACTTACAAACCATAAACCCATATTCCTTACAGCACAGAGACCCTCTATCCCACGGATTCTCAACCTTTTATTGGGTATGAAGACTCCTTTTTAAATCCAAAATTTTGTGGATTACACATATGCACACATACACACATACATACACACAAATTTTTAGTTTCCATCCATTAAAAAAATACGTAAGTTGGGCATAGCGGTACATGCCTGTAATCCCAGTGGCTTGGGAGGCTGAGGCAGGAGGATCATGAGTTCAAAGTCAGCCTCAGCAAAAGCAAGGCACTAAGCAACTCAGCGAGACCCTGTCTCTAAATAAAATAGGGCTGGGGATGTGGCTCAGTGGTCCAGCGCTCCCGTGTTCAATCTCCGGAACAACAACAACAAAAAAAAAAACATAAAAATGAGGAACCACCATGAACTTAACCATGCTCTAAAGCAATTTGCATTTTTCTTCATCACTACAGCAATCATACACATTAAGAAATTATAGAAGAGGCCAGAGACATGGTTCATTATGCCATTGCTCCCAACCTGCTGTAGCCCAGGATCAGAGAAGCCCCAGCAACAATGCTGTGGCCCCCACAGGTCTGTGGCTTCCCATCCCTGTGCCCCAGAGCTCTGCCATTACAAGAAGGCTCAATCTTGAGGAGCCCTGTGGATCCTGGACAGAGAGAGGAAAGGAAGACACCTGGGGCTCTTACCGTGTGGGTGGGACCCTCAGTCCTGTGAGGACGTGCTGGCCTCCTGGAGGCAAGGGACTGGGAAGGGAGCCAGACCGACTAGAGGAGGGCCCCGCAGGCATCCCGGCCTTTGGGATGGGTGGGATCACGATGCCTCCCATCGACTTCAGCATCTTCTCGTCGTTGCAATGCAGGTATTGCGGGGAAATCTGCACCTGGGAGCAGAGGGGTACTTGGTCCATGGAAGCGTCCTATGCTGGATACTCAGCTCCTTCTGCCAGGAGCCACCTGAGGGCGGAGGGCTGGGAAGTGCCCACAGATTTCCCTTCTCAGTCCCATGACCCAGGGACCAGACCCCCAGCCTCCAGAAAGCCCCTTACTTCCTTATCACTCCAGGTGAGAAGGCTGGCAAGCTCTTTGGTGGTTGTAATTATTATTATTGGGTTTTTTTTTTTCTTTTCTTTCTTGTTTCAGAAAGCTCTGAGAACATCAGAGCTAGAAGGGACTTTCAAAACATCTGGTCCAAATCTCTATTTCTGTAGATGTACCTGCTGGGGCCTAGATAAGGAAATGACCCACGCACGGTGACACAGGCAATGAGGAACAGAACCCAAATCCAAGTCCTGGCCCAGCGGCCCAGCGTTCTTTTCCCTCTGTCACACCTCCCGGCTTTAAATGGAGAGGGCCAGAAAGCAGGGGGAATTCTGAACAGTAAGACCAAAGAGGACAGGTGGCCAGGCAGCCTCTCACCTCCACAGCAGCCACCCAGAAGTTCCAGCTCCCAAGGGTCGGGATGCTGCAGAGGAGGTGAAACAGGGCTCAAGCCTCTCCCAATGCCACCCCCACCCTTGAGGGCAGCCCCTGAGACATCTGCAGAAACACAGGAGCAGGGGTTGGTAGAGGATGGGAAGATGGACAGAAGGACAATTGCAGGCAAGACTCGGAGCAGCAGAACCACTTTATCTCCTGGGCCCTAGCTCTCACCTCCTGGGGACCCTTCCTACTCCCTGGCAGATCCAGGCTCTTCTCTTTGGCTCCGCTGGCCTCTGGGGTGGTGGGGATGCTCTGGATGGGAGGCATTGGCCTGGGCACCTTCAGCAGCCTCTGAGAGGTGGTGCGCGGGATGGTGCTCCTCAGGAGAACACCTTTAGGGCCTCCCCCGGGATCCAGCAAGGCTGTTCAGAGGTGAGGATGGGAAATGAGGGGCAGACTTCAGAGCTTTACCAGGGCCTCATGCCCCGAGGGACGCTGGGATGAGGAGGGGAGAGGGCATTCCCTCCTAAATGCCCACCGCCCCACACCTATCAGTAGACTAAGCCAGCAGATGGCACCATCCTTTTCCATTCCTATAGAATGGTAGAAATGCCAATCCAAGTGACCCGCTGCAGAGGCAGTGTGGGTAGGAAGGCAAGAAGACTCATTGCTGGGATATAGGGGCGAGGACAGTGGGTTCTGGCCCTGGATAGCAGCGGTGTGACCTCAGGCAAGTCGCTGTCTCTTTGACCCCGTGTGCTCCTCCGTAAATGGGATACTCACAAAGACTCAGTGACCTCCCTTACATAAAATGCCAAGCTAGTTCCTAGTATGTGACAGGGCCAATCAATCCTTTCTCTCCCACCCCCGCCCTTTCCAGCTAATGCAGTGAGGTGGCAGCCGCCTTCACATTTCCAACATCGCCTCGAAGACAGACGGCCCCCTTCCAGCCCTTGGCTAATTCTTTATGTGCCCAACAGATATCCTGCCCCTCCTGCCCCATCCCACCCCGAATAGTGTCATCATCTAGGCAGGTGCCCACTAAACAGCCCCAGTGGATCCAAACATCACCTGGATACCTACTGATCCTCACAGCCTGAATGGCCTGGTACCTGACCTCAGGATGGTGGTGGCAGGTGGCAGGGCTCACCTCTTGAAGATGCTGCCATGCCCTCTGAAAGCCTCCGTTTCTTGAGCTTGTCCTTGATCTGGATGGTGTCCCGGGCCACACTGTTGGCCTCTGACTCCAGAGAGGTAGCAGGTGCCAGGGGACAAGGCCCTAAAGTCAGAGCTCCAAGATGCCTGGGGTGGCCATTCCTAGCCTTCCAATCCTTTAGAGGGATGTCCAGTTTGAGGTTGCCTGCATCCCCATGGCCGCTCAAGATCTCTGGTGGCTTCTCATTGCTCACCAGGACACTTGGCACAGGCTGGAGGGAGGCTGAAGCAGAAAGGGAAGAGTGGCTTGGCATGCAGGGCCCAGTGGCACCAGACACCAGCAAACCCATTGGTATGGCTTCCTAGGAGTGGTCAGTCACTTGTCTAATGAATCTGTCATTCAATGTTCCTGTCCTTCCTGGGGCAATCTAGCCATCCAACAGTGTCTAAGAAGCACCTGACCCCAGCAAAACCCACATCATGAAGTTCTCAGGGAATAAGAAGAGGATTCAACATCCAATCGCATCACAGCATAGATGAGAGGCCATAAGTACTTAGCAAAGGCCAACTGCCCAGGGACCACTGTCCACCGATCTCCAACAAATCCATTCAGTGCCATGGAGCACTGGATAATGCCACATGGGGAAGTTGGGAGATTTGGAGCAAGTCATGCTCATAGGGGGACACTTATTCAATTGTTCTTTCAATCAGCATTTAATAAGCACCTACAAGGTGCCAAGCACTATCCAGGCAGTGGAGGTACAAATATGACTATGTGAGGCACAGTCTGCCATTAAGGGACTTTGGATCTGTTAGAGGAAGAAGATGCATCATCCATAAATAGGTTCAGTACAGGTCCCCAAGAGAGGTCCTGTAGTGAGGGAAGCAAAGGGCCCAGGAGGCCAAGCCCTACGATGCGCTTAGTGGGGAGGGGTGATGGGGAAGACCCTGGTGAAGAGGTGGCCTGGTGGATCCCCCGGGGACAAGGGAAAGTGATGACAGGGGATCTTTCAGACACTCGGCAGGTCTTCTTGGGATCTCTTAAGACAGGCCCTAAGAGAGGCACAGAGCCAAAAGTGCCTGCCAAAAACCATGGGTGTCTTCAGCAGGGACCACAATACTAATAACACCCACTTAGCCAGACATGGTGGCAGGCTCCTGTAGTCCCAGCTCCTAAGGACACGGAGGTAGGAGGATCACCGTGGGCCCAAGAGTTCAAGGTGAGATGAGGCAGCAAACAAAGAAAGCAAAAGAAGCCAAAAGGACCCACATAGCTTGAGAACAGCTGGGCGTCCAACACCCTCATCCCCCTCCCCAGTCTAGGGCCCCAGCTGTGCACTGGGGTCTGTGGCCCTGACTGGGCTGTTGCCAGGGGAGCTCCCCATCACCTGCCAAAGTTCTCGGAGAGGCCACACAGGGCTCTCGAAGGCCATTTGGTGTGGCTGAGTCACCAGGCTGGGTCCTACTATCTTACCTTCTCCATAAACCGGCAGATTGGAGTTGATGCCTCCAGGCGGGGTCCCTCGGGGCCCAGCACTGGTCCTAGGGACACTCCCACAATACACAGCCACTGGAGCCAAAACCTTGGCTAGGGACAGAATCACAGAATAGCTGTATCTTAGAGGCCTCCGAGGCCAGGGCAAGGCACAAATCCAACACAAATGCAGACACCTGAACACCCTGCCCCTAGGGTCTCTGCCTGAAAGACCAAGGGCATGTGGTTGCCACGCCCACCCCCCCACCAGAGCCTGGCCTGCAGATGGGGGACCGGCCAGGTGGGGGGCCTGCAATCTCCATCAAACCCCACCAACCCTGCTCACACCAGCTTCTCAGCCAATACCATCTCCTGCTTCCCACTCTGATCTCCTCATCCTGACCTTGCTCCAAACCCCTGGCCATGGCTTTTCAGATTTCTCCATCATCCAAAAGTGCTGACCCACTGTCTGCAGTACCATTCTCTATCAAGGTGCATATCATACTTGCTGCTGCCGTTGGGCCACCTCCTCACTGCCACCTGCTTCAGACCACCTCCTAATCCACAAAGCCCTGACTAACACCCTAGCTGCAAAGCATCCATCATCTAGCCACAGCTCCTCTCGGAAGTCATCTTCCCTCCTGAACGCACCCCGCCCCCAGCATCCTTCATCCAGCTGCAGACACTCATTAATGCTCATCCCTGCTCTGTGCAGTGACTCTGGCATACAACAGGGGGTGGGATTGGGGGCAAGACTGACTCAGCCCTCGAGTGGGAGAAGTCTGAGGGGGAAGAGAAAAGGATCAATGACAGTGGGGCCAGGGACAGGGAAAGGGAAGGCTTTTCAAAGGGAGGCACCAATGGACTGAGATCAGAGAAGGAGCCAGGAAATGATGAGTGCACAGCTCAGTTAAGCCATTCCCTCTTTTAAAAAGCCTTCCCCCAGCTGGGTACGGTGACACATGCCCATAATCCCAGGAGGCTGAGGCAGGAAGATGGAGAAGGCAAAGCCAGCCTTAGCAATTTAGCCAGGCCCTAAGCAACTCAGTGAGACATCTATAAATATAATACAAAGAAAAGCAGGTGCTGAGGATGTGGCTCAGTGGTTAAGCACCTCTGAGTTCATTCCAGTACCCCCCAAAAAAGGCCTTCCCCCTGCTATGTCCTGTAGCCTCAGGCACGCCTTGCCCTGACACTCTTCCCAATCTCTCTCGCCCTCAGGCCTGCCCTGCGGCTTCCTTAGTACCTGCCATTCAGCAGGCACCTAATAAATGTCAATCTTTCACTCTCCTAGCTCAGCCCCTCCCTAACACACCTCCGATGCCCTAACCCACTTCTCAGTGAAGCCCCCACTCAGATGGAAACACAGCCTGCCTGCCCTCAAGATGCACCGCCCCAAGACTGGACTCAGGAGTCCAGGTTCTTGTTTCTGTCACTGTGTGGCCTAGAGGAAACAAGCTAACCTCTCTGCGTCTCCGTTCACGCAAAGTTCAAGTAGCTGGAGGCACCAGGGCTTCATACCACAACATCTTCTCCCACTTCCCCGCTAGAATCTAATGTCAGGTGCTGATTTATTCCTAAACTATGCAGCTGCTTTCAGATTAATCTGTCAGGGCCTCAGGGTGTCCTGCCCAAGCACCATGCCCAGACTCCCAAGATGACGGGCTCTGGCCACCCTGATTCTCTACCTTTGTCCAAACGTCATCTGGCCCTTGGGGCTAACCAGCTCTGCACTTTACAGGCATCCATTTCACCCGAGGCAGAACCAACCTCCTCTTTTCCCAGAGGAAACTAAAGCACAGCGGGTGCCCCAAAGGCAGAGCCAGGCCTGGACCCCTGTCTTCTGACCCTAAGAGGATTCCACTGCGCAGTTATCGACACCCCAGCCTTCAGCCCATGAGCTGGGAGACTCAAGGGGTTGGCGAGGCCCAGCAAGAATGTTCTGTGGCTGAATTAAAGAGTTCTTGCTCCCCTACCTGGTCAGCTAAGGAATCAAGTCGTCCACAATCCCAAGGCCCCACGCCCCCTGCCCATCCATACACTCTTGACCACAGAACAGCAGGGGCCCCTTGAGGAGCCAGCCCACTCTGTCTCAGAGAGTGGAGGCAAAGCCCAGGCCGGATCTCCAGAACCCTCAAAGCCCCTGCAGGCCAGGGAGCCACCACACAGGTGACAGAGCTGGAAGGGCCAGTGCCAGCATGTGAAGAGCTGGGCAGGGCTGGAGAGGCACAGCCACCTCCCAGACATGATCCGAGGAAGGTCCCCCACCCTGTGAAAGGCCAGTAGCCACCTCCCTGGGAGCTTCTCACCTGGGGTGACATCGTCTCGGGTGCCCATGCCCCCGGTGGAGGGGCTGTCCAGAGGCAGCAGCTATGCCTGGGCCGTGAGTGCAGGCCTCGGGGGTCCAGAGGGTTCTGACCTGTGACATCCAGGGACCTGTGGTGGGAAGGGCAGGGAGAAGTCAGTAAAAATGGGCAACAGCACAGGAGCCAAAGCCTTGCTGAGGCGAGCAGATCTGCCACTGACCCAGGACACCCAGACGTCTTTTCTGACATTTGGGCTCATCTCCGACACCTCAGAGTTCCTAAGTACCAAGTCAAGTCCGAGGCCACTTGACCCTGTGGAAAGCATTCGGGATGGAGAGTGTCAACAAAACCCGATCAACCCACCATGGCTTTCGTGGATGCCTTTAGGATCCTGGGGAGGGTGCAACTCTGACACTTTTTCCTTCAGTTTCTGTTTTCTCCTAAAGCCCTTCACACTCCACCAGCTGCCCCCAAAGCCCACGGGAGCCTCGAGCCTTTGCGCTCACCGCACCCAAGCAGCCAGCGGCAGGTTGGGGCTTGTCCGTCCCCATGTGCATGGAGTTCTGGGCCTTCATGCTCACCTCATTGAAAAAGCCACACCTCTGACCCTCTGCCGTCTCGCTGTCCTGTGGCTGCGACTTGGCCACTCCAAGGCTCTTCCCAGCCTCCGGGGCCAGTCCTCAGCCCTTACCCTCCACCTAACGTCACCCTCCCTGTGCAAGGCTCTGTGACTTCACACAATTTTATGAATTCTTTGCTGAAACGAGGGTGACAGATCAGGAAGGTAGACAGCCGGAGCTGGTCAGTAGTACAATAACGTCCCCGTCTCTACCCAGAGAGCTGTTCCCTCGAGATGTTATCTGGGGACAGGGCAGGTACTGTGCCAACTCCCTTCTGTTGAGCAATAAATCCCAACTCAGGAACTGAGAAACCTGCCTTCTTTCTGTCTGGAAGCCAGCCTGCCACGGTCCCCACCCAGGCCCCAGAAGGCAGAGCAGCACCTAGCAACCTGGCCAAACAGGAGGCAGCTCAGCCTGGCTGCCCCGGCCCAGCTCCACCGGGCCCAGTCTCCTGGCTGAGCCCCCCAAGTCGCATGGGTTCTCTGTCCAAAGGGAGACTAGAACGTGGCCACATGGGGTGAACGCAGTCACGAATGGCGGTGAGAGCACTTGTCACAGCAAGGTGGGAGGATTCCACTGCACAGTTATCAACACCCCGACCTTCAGCCCAGTGAGCTGGGAGACCCAAGGGGTTGGCGAGGCCCAGCGGGAATGTTCTGTGGCTGAATTAAAGCCAAGAAGCTGGAGTTAAAGGTGTTGGGGGCAGTGAGAATTGCAGGCCCCATCCACTGTGCATCTCTGTGACCAGAGGAAACCCGTTATATGAAACTGTGGTAGGAAAGCAGCGCTCCCCATTGCTGCGGACCAGAATCTCCTGGGAACTGGTAGAAATGGCAGATTCCTAGACCACACCTCAGACCCCTCACAGAAGTGGTTTTTCTAGGAAGGAGACTGTGAGGATCCATTTTTTGTTTGTTTTGTTTTGTTTTGATTAACTCCTAAGTGATTTTGATATTCAAGCAGGATTGAAAACCACTGGGCTATAATTCAGATTCATTTGGCGATAAGGACTCAGCCCTAGTTCTCCCCTTCAGTGGTCCAGGTGGTTAGTGCTGCCTCCGTTTCCCCCCAAGAGCTCCCTCTCTAGGAGAAGATGCAGAGCTACCCAAGAGCACAGACTGCTACTGAGCTGGGCCTGCAGAACAAGAATCCCCACCTCCAGCCTCCCGGGCTGCCCAGGCTCCTCCACATCCTCAGGGACACCCGGAGCCCCTCCACACCAGCCAAGCCACCCCACCAAGCAGAGCTCCTGTGAGTCCCTATCAGATCTGCACCTTCAGTCCCTCAGGCACCACAGGTCTAGAGAGCAGGATCTCCCAAGCATCTGCCCAAGAGGAAGTGGACAACCACATCCTACAGGACAGCAGTGAGGGGCTCCCCCAGGGAAACCACTCAGGCCCAGGATCTACTACTCAGCAATCCACACCCCAATTTTAAAAATGAGAATCAGAAATTCCCACACACAGGTCGACAGAGTCTTGGGTTTATCATGGAGACCCCTTAGCACCTGGCCCCCAGGACACAAGTCACAGACCCCGTTTGCCCCGTACTCCACCAGCACTAAAGTGTTTCTCTCGCCGTCAGAACAGCCAGTCCCAGACCTAAAGGGCTGAACGAGCCAGTGGACTGTGGTGACCAGGATTTTGTCCTCACTCCTTGAGGCCCTGCATTGCCACCCTTGGCCTCATTCACAGCTCAGGGAACAGGTTGACCCAAGATAAGTGACCTTTGTCTACTCCTTCCATTAAAGCTATGACTACAGACGTTCCATGGTGACTGGCACCATAGGAATGAAGTAAGGTGACAGAAGGGACTCAGGTTTCAGGAGGAGAGGAAACAAGGCTAGGACTGGCCCAGTAAAGAGTGTCGGCCCCAAGGACAAAATCCACTGCCCCAGTGTCTCGCACGGCCCCAGGAGCCAGAGCTCCGTGTCCACCTTGCTCCCCAGGGGCCTGGGCAGAGCACTGTCCCTGAGAGACGATGGAGACAGGAGGGCAAGGGAAGGGCCCTGTCGAGGACATGCACACGCACAGCCGCACAGTCGTGGCAGGCCAGCCCTCCATCTCTGAGACAGCCCCAGGTGACACAGATGCCTGTCCCAGGGAGGAGACATGTCTCTAGAGCAGGAGGCTCAAACTCAACAGGACCTGGCCCTCCTCCCGCTGTCACCCACAAGCCCTGTTTCTAAATGGTGCTCTCTGTCACACCATCAGGGCGGTGAGTGCTCCTTGTGAGGCAGGGCGAAGGGCTGGCTGGTCACTGTCCCTCCAGGCAGAATGAGTGAACATGCACCGTCACCCCAGGTGAAACCAGCACCCGCTGCAACATCAGGCAGGACTAATGAACATGGACTGTCACACCTGGTGGGGCGAGGGGACGCACACTGTCAACCAGGCTGGGTGAGCCACTCCACTGAAGAGACAGGCACACAGTGAGCCCCTGCTGCTGTCTGATAAGGAAACCCGGAGGAGATGCTGCAGTGACCAGCGACACCCTGCTGGGCCTGGAAGGAAGCAGGGTGGGGTGGGGGCTGGGAATGAGGAAGGACACCCCGGCCAAGGCTCAGCCTGGACACACGTGGAGGAACAAACACTCCCATGAGTCTCAGGGCTGGGAGGTGGGGCTGCCTGAGGGCCCTGGAAGGCTCTGCAGGGTCCCAGCTTGTTCTGCAGCCCAAGGAGCTGAACAGAGAGGGAGGACATCATTGACCTGTGTTTCCTGCAGACGCTCAGTGAGACTCTGGAAGGACTGCCTAGGGGAGCAGAGGCTGGGACAGACTCTAAGGACTGAAACTTAGAGACCCTTGGGCCAGCCTCTGGCCTGGCTGGACCCAGAAAAGAAACAGTCAGACCAAGATGTGCCCCCAGATACAGGCAGAATAGGAAGGACAGAACACACTCGAGGGTAAGGGGCGGCCACTGCCCTCCTCACCGCACACACGCACCCTTCCCCACCATCAGAGGATGCAGTCCAGCCATAAACCTCAGGGGGACCCCTGGGTGGCCTCGGACGACCTCCTGGACTCTGACTTCCGAGGCTCAAGCTGTCAAGGAAGGTCTGAGGTCCACGCGCTCATATCACAGGTACTAGGACACAGAGGCATGGGGCTCCAATCCAGTACCTGTGTGACGAAAGGCTCATCACTGAACTTCTCTGAGCCCCAGTTTTTTTAACCGCAAAAATGTAGATAATTCCTATCTCATTTCAATATTTAATAAATTAAGACAACCACTTAATACTCTGGCCCCGGCAAGTAATCAATACACACTGGCATTAGCAAAATTGCAGTTGACAAAACCCAGGGCAGCAGCAGATGGACAGACTTGGGTGGACAAGGCAGGAAGGTGAAGAGAGGGGCTAAGTGTGATTCCGGGGCTTGGCAGTTCCATGTGGAATCCACCTGAGAAAGGTTTGGGAGGGAAGCCGGCAGGAATGACAGACTGCCTGAATGAGGACAGCCGGAGGTCTAGGCTGAGTCTGGGGTGCTGGGGTACCATTCCCTGCTGAGATGGTGGACATGGAGCAGGTGCCGGAGGCCAGGAGAGACACTGAGTCCTGGTTTGGGCAGCGTGGTTTGTGTCCCCTCTGGGAGACCCGGATGGAACCATGCAGAGAGCAGCTGGTCTGAGGCTCCACAGAGGAGGGACTGGGCTTGGAAATGTCCTCGACCCACAGCAATGGAATCTGCAGAAGAGAACCAGGGCCAGGAACGGCAGAGATGGGCAAGAGCAAGGACGCTGGGGAGGACAGGAGAGCAGAGAGAGGTTAGGGGGTCAGCTCAGCAGAGATGGAGGTGGGACAGGACCAGGGATGCTGGCTGGATGTGACCAGCAGGGACTCTGCCAGGAGTTCTGTGAGAGCATCTCTGTGCACTGGGGACAGAAAGCCGCCACAACATGGAGCAGGTAGGAGCAGGTAGAAGGTGGAGAAGCTGACACAGTGAATGTGACAACTCTTTGGAAGTTAGAGGAGACCGTCAGGAGAGGGACACAGCAGTAGCCCGAGAGCAATGAGCCTGAATGAGACCAGTTGTGCTTTTGTTTGCACTTTTTTTTCCCTTGCTCTACCAGGAATTGAAGCCAGGAGAGCTCTACCACTGAGTTACATCCCCAGCCCTTTTTATTTTATTTTGAGGCGGAGTCTGGCTCAGTTGCTCAGGCTGGCCTTGAACTCGTGATCCTCTTGCCTCGGCCTTGAGGGTCTCTGGGATTGCAGGCGTGCGGTTCTCTGCTTCTTTAAAAGTGGGAAATACTCTAGCATATGAGGAGGAGGAGGAGGAAGAGCCAGAGGGGAAGGGTGACTACAGGAGGGAGGGACCGTGAGGGACAGAGCAGGATCCTAGCCTTTGCTGCAGGGAGGAGGTCTCAGGGGCCAGGAGATGGTGGCTGCCAGTGAGGGGAGAGGGGATGGGGACAGCCAGGGGAAGGGTCATAGGGGAGCCACAAACGGCCAGTGGTGGAGGAGGAATTCTAGAGAGCAGTGAGGTTCTAGAAAGATCCTGGAGGCTGTG